TTTTTTTTTTTTTTTTTTTTTTTTGGTGTCAAATCGTTTCTTTCGTTTAAATATCGTCTCTTACAACGGGGAGATGAGGATTTCAATTAAGAAAGTAACGAGAAGGGAACTGGTTCGATTATTTCCCACGGATTATTGTGTTTTGCTCGAAACGTTGTCCTAAATAATGTAAGTGTGTTATTATCAATAAGGTATCCTATGCTTAAGTTATAATAATTTCTCTCAACGTGTTTTCGTAGGATATATATATTGCGTAGCAATTCTTATCCCTCTCTTTTTACGCTGATCCTTTATCCGCTCGCATCGATAACGCTTTATAGATTTTTTTAAAGTGCTCGCTTAATATTGTATATTATATATATATAGCGGTAGAGTATATATAATCGCTAACCAATCGTTGCTACAATCGTGATCGTAAGTAAGGAAATTTGAACTTTGGAATGTCGTTGAATGCACTTTGAGAATGCCAATTTTTTTTTTTTTATTTTTTTTTAAAGAAAGTATTTTTATATTGGAATTTTTGTTAAGAGTTTTTGCGAAGAAAATTAGAGATTAGAACGAAACTCGTTCGAGAAGAATAAAACGAAAGTTAACCTAACACGGTAGGAGATCACGTACAGGATAACAGCTATGTCTGACTAATGATCGACCTACACTACTTTATGTTTCCATTTACATTAATAATCCTAACATTATGACACGTTGGAGTTGATACTTGATAAATATAATTGATATTATCTATTTATTACGAACGAAGCATAGCATATTTAAAAATGTATAAAATAATATTCTGCATAAATATACAATTCTTCCTCGATAATTCGTATATATAAATTATATATCTATGCAGAATATTATTCAAATAACATCAATTATATTTATCGAATATCAACTTTCACTTATAAATTTTGTTATAATATTAGAATTATTAATATATAATATATATATATTTTATTTTCAGTGATGGAATAAGATAAATTCCGATTGTAAATCGAATTAAATGATCTTACCACACTTATCAAATATCTTATAGCTTTGATCATCGAACATGCCACAAATTGACCCATTAATTTCAACCCTGGCATATCTTCCAATACATTCCAACCAGGCTATCGGTATTTGTGCCAAACACGCTTGATGACAGATTTCTGACGTGTCTATCAGATATCCAGTTATTTAATAAATATCGACTAGATAATACGATATTTCTATATAATAATTTCTCAAAGTTCATTTAATGATGATAATAGTAACAGTGGCAGTAACCTTAATCTTAAATCTCCGAGAGAAAAAAAATTCGATTTATCTTCCCTACAGTACAGAAATAGAACATCAATTACGTTACGATTAACGTTACTGAATCAGAATAATTAACTCTACAATTGTAATCGTACAATATGACTAATATATCATCAAACTGAATTATTGTACCTGACTCCACAATGTAGAATCGGTAGGTCTTCAGTAGACGAAAGTAGTAGTTTAGTAGTGCCTTAATAACAACAATTTTCGCATAGACGTTGAGGAGCTAGCTACAGTTGACCTGCTCCATTCTTAGCTAGAGTTTTTGCAACATGTAGCTAAGAAAAAAAACCGTAAGTAGGCTTTAGTGTGGTAGTACTATCTCTCAATTTATCGATCCTCTCTTTATTATATAAATATATATATATATATACCTTCTTCTTGTTCTCTTCTTTAATTTTGTACGAATAATTGCAAGAAATTTTGTATTACATATAGTTATTTTTCTTCTATACAATTATTTATATATATTTTTATATAGAAAGCAAGTTTTATTAGTATTATCAGTAGCGTACTAGTTATAATATTTTTTACATTAATATTATTATTAGTAAATGTGGAAATAAACAAGTTTACAATCATCTACCCTGCACACCACTCATTTACAATTAATACATAACTTTTAGAATTTTTTTCAACTCTCCCCGGATTTTCTTCTCATTTAAATATATATACATGTAATAACGTTTTTTTTTTTCTTAAGGATTACAGATGACTCGAATAACGTGTAATTGGAACAATTAACGATTAAACGAACACTAGGATTTCTCAACTTTTTCCAAATTATTTCAATATATAAACTCTAAACTATAGATATACTCGTCAACTAGATATAGATGTAAATCGTCTTGATAACAAATCCATTCTGATCAATCTCGATTCCATCTCTATTTACTCCATACATATCACAAACATGATATGAATTCAGAACAGAACCCCGAAGACACTTGACATAAGTTGAGAGCTTCGTTGATTGCGATTACGTAAAGGCTTTTGTTCGAAAAGTATGGATCCCCTTTTAAAGAGTAGTGGAAAGCAAGATGCGTTCAGTATGCGTAAAAAAAAAATTAATTTCGTGCAACGACTCGTCCCACCAATCTACGACGAATGTAAAGAGGGTGCAACAACTCATTCCCCCTCCCCCCTTTTTTTCTAAAGAGATACCAGGTAAAAGAGAGAAAGCAGAGCCGTTACTTTGAAGAAAAAAAAAAAAAAAAAGAGAAGAGCGAATCACACACGGCGCGCGTAGATTGGTGGGCGGGTAATCGCGTAATGCACACGTCGCAGAAAGGAAATATTTTTCTCTAACTCGCAGGGCGGGGTGAGCGCAAAGACAGCGTCATGAATATTCCGGAGAGGTTTTACGATCGCAACAGTGAATCGGACGAGGAAGAAAAGTGGAGGTAAGTTGGAATCAAACTTTTAAAATTCTTTTCTTCCTTTGATTATTCATCATAGACATCATATTTTTCAGAAAACAGAAAATATATATCGTACTGAAACTTGTTGTTTCCGCCAAAAAGAAATATATTTATCATTTACTTATTAATTTCTAATTAATAATGCTAATTAATGCTATATGTAATCGTGAAAAGATTAATGTATTAAATTAATGCAAATAAATATATGAATTATTTAATATAAATGCTAAAATTTTAATTCTTGCAATACAATTTTTATAATATGATAGATATTAACTATTTCTTTATAAAAAAATATATTATTTATAAACTATATATATATGATTGCTGTATTGAATTTCGATATAAATTTATCAATTTCCATTTAATTAACTTCGATATATATATGTGTATACCACACTACCATCATTACAAAGGGATGAAAAAAAAAAGAAAAAAAATCATAAATTTGATTTGAATAAAATTGTTTCTCTATTCGTGAAAAAGAGAGAAAAAAGAAAAAGAAAAGTTGGAGCGCTTGAGATTATTTTTTACTACTCTCCTCGAACACCAGATTTTTTTTTCTAGTTAAAGTTTATCTTCGATGTAAGAAATAATGGTAACTAGAAAGAAATGGAAATCATGAAGTTTAATCAAAGTTGAGGCTCCATATACTTTTTTTTTTTTTTTCATAATAGTTTGAAAATTAATCCTCGTTCCAATGTCGTTTACTTTGCAGATATTGTTTAAAGTTTGTTTCTTCTAAAAAAAAAAAAAAAAAAATACGCGATACAACGAACAATAAACGCAAAGTAAGCTAGTCTATTAGTTTTCCCCTCCCCCAAGTTGTTTCTGAGCTGATATATTAAATGATACGAACTCGGATTTCCGTTCTCTCTCAATTTTAGTCAGCCAACGAGAAATGAAAATGGCGTTAACGCGAAGCTGGGCCGCGGACAGGTGCCACCAAAGGGATTCAAGATAACAGCTGGTAAAGAATTTCGCAATTTATATTATTAATAATCGTTTTGGATCAATTTCAATTCCAATCCCGAAACCAATTCTTCTCTTCTCTTTCTAGTATTTGCAATTATATTTTTAATTTTATCTCAAAGTACGCAGGGAAGAAAAAAAAAGGAAAAAAATTTTTTCTTCTCGAAAATTACAATCTCAAAATCAATTCTTCTCTTCTCTTTCTAGTATTTGCAATTATATTTTTAATTTTATCTCAAAGTACGCAGGGAAGAAAAAAAAAGGAAAAAAATTTTTTCTTCTCGAAAATTACAATCTCAAAATCAATTCTTCTCTTCTCTTTCTAATATTTGCGATTATACTTTTAATTTTATCTCAAAGTACGCAGAGAAAAAAAAAAAGGAAAAAAATTTTTTCTTCTCGAAAATTTCAATTCCAATTCCGAAAAAACAATTCTTCTCTTCTCTTTCTAATATTTGCGATTACACTTTTAATTTTATCTCAAAATACGCAGAGAAAAAAAAAAGGAAAAAAATTTTTTCTTCTTCCGAAAATTTCAATTCCAATCCCGAAACCAATTTTTCTCTTCTCTTTCTAATATTTGCGATTATACTTTTAATTTTATCTCAAAGTACGCAGGGAAGAAAAAAAAAGGAAAAAAATTTTTTCTTCTCGAAAATTTCAATTCCAATCCCGAAAAAAAATTCTTCTCTTCTCTCTCTAATATTTGCAATTATACTTTTAATTTTATCTCAAAGTACGCAGGGAAGAAAAAAAAAGGAAAAAAATTTTTTCTTCTCGAAAATTTCAATTCCAATCCCGAAAAAAAATTCTTCTCTTCTCTCTCTAATATTTGCAATTATATTTTTAATTTTATCTCAAACTACGTAAGGAAAAAAAAAAAAAAAAAAGGAAAAAAATTTTTTTCTCTCCCGAAAATTTCAAGTCAAATTTGCGTGAATTTTTCACGGATTTCAGGAGGTCAAAGTGGCGAGGTGAAACTGGGTCTCTGCCTGAGCAAAGGAACGCTTGAAGTCGAAGTTATATGCGCTCGAGACATTTGTCCCGGTGAAAAAGAAGAGCCAGGTAATTTTCTTTTCTTTTTTTTTTTTCTTCACCTTTCTATCATTAAAATTACGGCTCCCTTCGAATTTTTTAATGACGACGAGAAATAATACGCTCGTTTCAAGACGAGACGAGTCAGGAAATATAAACGAACACGGTAATCGATGCGGCTATTCGATAGTTAAACGTCGAGTTGAAAATCAGTTTATAATGATTCCTTGATATATTCACGAATGTCGCTCGTCGTTTTCCACGATTATAATAATTTTTCCACGAGTCTTGATCTAATAAAAATCGGAATATATCATACGCTTACTTCGAATAATAAAGCCACGATTTTTCGTTACGAGATATTTCTAAACGTTTCTCCATTAGGAAAATTACAAGTCTATCCTCCCGTCTCGTCGAAACGAGAGCACAAACGAGAGTGCCATTAGAAGTAACCAAACGATTCCTTTTTTCACGACACCCCTCCTCGCAGACACGTACGTGAAAACGTATCTCCGAGACGGCGACAGATGGCTGCAAAAGCGGAAAACACGGGTGGTGCGACACTCGAGGAACCCGCAATACCGTCAGACCATCAAGTACAGCAGCTGCGACGCCCTTGGAAGGAATCTACTGGTGATGCTGTGGGAGAAGAAGCAGGCGTTCGAAAGCAACCAAGGGTTAGGCGGGGCCGAGGTGAGCCTCGACCTTCTTCCACTGGCACAGCTGACCGTCGATTGGTATCCCTTGTTCCCGATTCACACCCTCGGCACCCATACCGCGGACTCCCCATGATGGCTGAGGGAAAAATGGGCCCTCGAGGCGGGGGAACTCGATCTAAGGCTGAGCCTCCTTCTCAAAGACGAGAACGAGTCTGTCGTGAAAATTATCTCCTGATCGAGTCAATCCACTCCTACTTTCGACCTTTCGACCAATTCCCTTCCGTTTCCTCCATTCCTCCTTTCGTTCTTCTTCAAAAACGAAATATATCTCTTTTTCCACCGATTATTTTATTTTAGAATCTTCATCAAAATCCAGAGCAATCGAAGATACATACATCGGATATAATTTCGAATCCAATTCGGATTCCGCGTAACAATATTTTCTGTTTATTTGATCTCACGAGACAATCAAATACCCCGATGGATGATTCATCATTCACGGGAGATTCCCAATAGAGTCGAAACTTTTTTCCCCACTTGTTTCCACTTTTAATCGCAACTTTTTTAGCGCGGTTGATTTTTAAACGAGTCCTTCGTATATGGAAAAGAAAAAAAAAAAAAAAAGAAAAAAAAATCGAAGAGCAAATCGATATCCAATATCGAACTCTCCACAGACCAGCAATTTTTCACCTTTCCTGAATTCGTTCCCGAATATCCTCCAAGCAATAAGGACGTACCTGTGTGCAGATCTATCTCCACGAAGAAGAATCTATCGAAGCGAGCAAGAAATTACGAAAGAGAGAGAGAGAGAGAGAGAGAGAAAGAGAGAGACAGAGAAAAGAGAGAAAAAGAGATTCTATTTTTTTCATGAATTATTAAAAGCACGGAGGCAAAAGAGGGAGGGAGAGGAACGAAGATGCCACGTCTTGAACAGACGACGAGGGTCCATTTTTCTCATTAATTAAGGAACGACAGTGTCGAACGAGAGACGATCGACATCTGTCACGGAAAATGCGCGTGCTCTGCTGGTTGATCCAGATTTGCGATTCGATCGGGTCTCGTGGATAACGTACGAACCGATTTGCATACGATGAAATAAAATATATACGTATACACGACGTGCGTGTTCACCACGCGATGCGAACATGCGGTTAGCTACTTTCTTTTTTTTTTCTCGTCGAGGAACCGTCTCGATACCGTCGATCTTCCCTTCGAAATAATCGAAACGAAGAGTTCGAAACGTGATCGAATCAGACGAAAGGAAGGAAGAAAAAAAAAAAAAAAGGAAAAAAGAAGAAAGAAGATGGGAATGGAGACGAGATCGAGACGATTCCTTGAACGATCGGACAAATTACTTAACGGTTCAGACAATCGTTTTAATCGGCTCGCTGGTCGAGCCGAGCACGAAGAGCGATCGGTAAGTGGTTACCAGGACAAACTTTACG